ATTGGACCAAAACTTCTAAAAATCATACGATAGCTAACTAGTGTTACTGTAAAGTGTGCTGATCTGGAATCAGTGTCAATGGGATGAATGTTTAACTAGTTTTTTTAACTAGTGCAAAGGTAAGCACTCACAAAACCAAACAACCAGAATTTTGTAGCGCCGCAAAGCAGCAGGTTATGTTTACCTCTGGAGAAACGCCACATCGGTAGTACAAAAATAGCACCCCTCATAGGATGCACTTACTGAAACTCAGAATAAATGTTGGACAAAACGTTCCAGAAACTGTGCACACGTTCGGGTTCCTGCGAAAAATAAGCCAGCAGATGAGCGACTGGGTGATTGATGCAAAACTGAACTGCAACTTGCAGACACCCCAGCTCCACAAAATCAACATATCAACATCTAAAGTTAGTCAGAATTTTGAAAGCGTGGCGGTGTAGAGGAAGCCTTTCCATTTATCATTACCCGAAATTTTTTATTCATGACATAATTTACTGGCGTTGAAACGTTGAACGGTACCGGTGCAGGACGACGACGAGCCGACCTACTGCGCGCAGCCCGTTGGTGTACCTGTAGCGGCGCGGGGGGGGAGGGTGGGGGGTTGGAAGGGTAGTGGTTGTGCCGGCCGCGCCCCGCCCCAGCGCCAAGAGCATCCGTAGATGCGGCGGTTAGTGACGTGCTACCCATACGTGCTACAGAGGCGGGGCTGGCCTGGCGTGGTGGCGCCGGTCGCGCCCCGCCAGCCGAGCCGAGAGTATCCGCAGATGCGGTGGTTAGTGACGTGCTACCGTACGTGCTACAGAGGCGGGGCTGGCGTGCTCCTTTCATGCCGTGGTCGTGGTGGTGCCGGACCCGGACGACTCTGGAACATCGACCGGCGCTAGCCTGGCTAATAAGTTCACTTCAAAATTAATTAATACAAAACATTATAATAATACTGAGTGGGAGCCTCGGAAACCAACACTGTTCAATATTACTCGCACAAAAAACCAAGTCATGCAGTGCGTTCCAATCGGGAACTCAAATTACCTCCTTTCAGACCTGCTCGGACGGCGCGAAACCGCGGCAGTTTAAACTGGGGGAACTGTTTCTAGACGTTCTCATGGAGATATCTGGGGGAAAAGGTAACTGCGTAATTACTCAGTAGTTACAAGGTAATAAGAGGCCTTCTATAAAAAAAATAATAACTTTTTTATGTAATTTTAATGTGAGTTATATAACATTTTATTAAGGCCACTTTCCGAGGGGTATGGAGCCAAGTCTCATAGGGTGACTTAATAAATTGGCAATAAAATAAAAAGAATGTTAAGTCAACCTGGAAGACATAATGATTTTCGAACTATCGTCAAGTCACTACTACTGAACTAAAAATAGTTATAGCCAAGCAATATCAAAAATAAACATATTGAGGCAGTGAAATGTGTTGATTTTTGGTTGCAGTGTTGACTAGATAATATACATATTAAAAGAAAAATCTAAGCAAATCTAAGCACTTTTAGCTTTGACGAGTGGTATGCAGCCAGAGGAAATTTGATGGGCTTTCATTGATCTAGCCACAGCTTTTCCGCAAATCGGACCAACTCTTTTGGGCAGTTTAGATCCCCACTCTGGAAACATAGCTGAGATTGTAGTCCTATGTTTTGCCTGGTCCTCATCTGACAAATCTGAATGTTTTGAGTCAAAATGATCCACCAATCGTTTTTTCTGCCCACCCTGGAAGGTAACGTCACACTCAGGGCACATGATGGTTTTTCTATTTGGACGTTTCTTCTTATTCATGGACGGGGCTGCAGCTACTTCCTCCTCTTTTGACTCAGAACTGCTGTCCACAACATCACCATTATTTTCCTGCATCAAAAGAACATTTCCGTAGCAAAATCTCAAAATAAAATGCAAAGCACAGCGGGAATGAAAACATCTTTCTAAATGAGATTAAAACTAAGCTGCATATGCACGAGAGTAGCAATAGCATAACAATTACTTACGTATGACTCCCTCCACAAATTTGATTGGATAATGCTTTTCAAAAAATATGGTGATGAAACGGCAGGTACCTTCCCAGTCATGTAGGCTTTCATGTTAAAAAGACGTGCTTATAAGAAAATGTTAAAAATTCCGAGAAATTATTCAGAACTGACCAAACTTTTGGATAAACAGCGTGATGGACATTTATACTGAACATCGAAAGGTCTTCAATGTGCAGCGGAAAGAAACTATGATGTAATCCAAAATACAGGTAACTGCTATTGATGCCTGGGTAGACACCATCCAGGATACAAGTCGGAGTTATTTGGTTTAAAAATGACAAAGAAAAATTTTAAGAAACTCTGTTCCATTTGCCTGCCTTCACATTAATTCCACTTGCATAGTAGAAACCTTTGTCTTTGTAATACATAAGTGTAGCAGCAATTTCAGGCTTCATTTCATCGCCTTCTTCAGTTAAAACCTCATCAGAATAAACACACATCCAACAAGAACAATATTGATTATCTTCTGGAAGCTCTGCGTTTGCTTTTCCTTTAGGAAGGACCTTGCAGACCGCTGCACTTTTCTCAGCAGGAGTTTTCAGTTTGTTCAACATTTCTTTCCTTCTGGTTAACGTTTTAAATTTCAGAGCTGATTTCTTGGCACTATCACTTCCCATTCCCAATACTCGCTTATATTGCGGTGGATTTTTGGCTTCAGCAGGTAATTTCTCTTCAAAGTAATGAGAGAGCAACCCATTAATGCCTGTCTCATTCAAAGCAGAAATGCTGGAACAATGCAAATTATACATTAAATGATTAGCAAGAAACAATACAGGCAACTCAATGTAAAAAAGGGAGTGGAATAATCATACCAGCAGTTGGCATCTGATACAGTGTACATTGCAGGATTCATTAAAATATCCATGCACCCTTGGGCCTCCTTCGTGTCTAATTGATCAAATGACATATGGCCATAAAAGTCTTGGCAATACGGGACCGTTGTAGGGTTCAACTTTTTTAATGAATCAGCCATAACCCCACTAAATTTTTGCAGGAGTTCCTCCAGTGATGTTCCCTCGCCAGAATCCAATGTCAACTGAAAAAATCAGAAATATCTGAACAATACGAAACGACATATAAAAAGAACACCGCGTCACAATGAAGAGAGTGATATGAAGTATACAGTGCTCCTGGGAAACATACATGTAAGACACCATCATCTTTAAACCTTTGGTTTTTCCTTAAGAGTTCATCCATATATTCATCAAGCCGAAATAAATCGTCCTCAGATAATCTTGTCGATTGAACCACTTCAATTTCTTCCATAGTTTTGAGTAGAACAAACAGTAAACAGATAATTTTATTTTATAGTATTAGCGTATAAAGGTAAGGAGCAGCCTGCAGCCAATCAGAATCGAGGTCGTTTCGGTTCTGAGCAAGGCGGTGCTGCTTTTCAAAGTCTTGTCTTCTGCTGTCGCGCGAACATCCCGCATCACAACACATCATTAATTTACGGCACTTTGGGTTTATTTTCGTGTTATTGATGGCGCTGCGCACCAATACTGTAACGCGATACGCTGCGTCGGCACGTTTCACAGGATACGATTTTTCTGAACTCACCTCGAAAAGAGAGAATGCGATAAACTTGGGCTTTATCAGGGCTTTATAGTTTAACAGTTCCATTTTGCCTGTGGCGGCACGGAGGGAGGGGTTCGAATGGTCACCAGTGCGTTTGGTTTTTGTTTTACGCTTTAAGAAAACTTCACACAGCGATGAGCGGTGATTTTTTTTTTGCATTTCTGTGTCTTTGTATCGCCACTATACACCGCCACGCCACAACTCCATGACGCCACGTATGTCGTATTGTCCGTGGTGGGCGGCTGAGTGCTTAGCGGGGTGTAGAATTTCTCATTTTTCGTACCGCTATATTTCTCATACCATACAAGGCGTACGTGCTACTGCGTGCTACGAGATGTGCGACCGTCTATATTTGTGTGTGGTGTTTGTGTGTTTGCCATGGAAGAAATTCGCGTCACTGTGTTATCTGAGGATAATTTGTTGCGCCTCGATGAATTCGTTGACGAGCTTCAAACCCAAGATAAAACCTTCAACGACAATGGTGTTTTGCTTGTATGTTTTATTCACAGCATTGTATGCTGCATCTCTTCTCTCCACTGTGACCTGGTGTTCTTCACAGTTGCAATCGCATTAATGTTCAGGTATTTTTTGTACTTTTCAGTTGGAGGTTAAAGGTTCTGGCCCCGGAACATCCCTAGAGGAATTGCTTAGAAAATTTAGAAGGGAAGCAGAGGAGTCCATCAAAAAGTTGAACCCGACTTCGGTTCCCTACTCTGAGGGCTTTTATGGCCATGTTTCAATTCCTTGTGAGCTGCTTGACGCAGAAGATGTGAAATCCTGCAGGGATATTTTACAGCAACCTTCAATGTATGCTGTCTCAAACGACAACTGCTGGTATGATTTATGCGTGCCCTCACCTTTGTCCTCTTTTAGTTGCCTGTATTATCCCCTCCTTCCCTTGTATGATGAAATGTGCATTGTTACAGTATTGCTGCTTTGAATAAAAGTGGCACTGGTGGCCTGCTGTCACATTATTTCGATGACAAATTTAAAGCTCAAGCCAGCAATCCACCCCAATTCAAAAGCAACCTGGCAATGGGATCAGCAAGCTCTGCATCAAAAGCTAAGAACTTCACCAAATTTAAAAGTAGACTGAATTCCTGCCAATCACCTCAGGAAAAAGCTAAAGAGGCCGCCAAGGTTCTCGTCCCAGTAAGGAAGAATTTTTCTCTTTGCGCGTGTTGGATGTGTGTGTATTCAGATGAAGTAGTTAAGGAAGACGACCATGATGAAATGAGCCAAGAAACGGCAAATTACTACCAGGGCAAAGGCTTTTTTTACGCTAGTGGTTTGAATGTGCAGAAAAACAAAAGAAACATGGTATCTTCAAATTTTTCTTTATCTTTTTTAAATAAAATTACCCCAACGTGTCTCCTGGAGGGTAACTTACCAGGAATCACTACGCCCTACCTATATTTCGGTTTTAGCCATTCTTTTTTCCCTATTCACATTGAGGATCTATCTCTGTACAGTTTGAATTTCCTGCATCATGGCTATCCAAAAGTATGGTAAGTTCTTAACAGTTCATCAGAATTCCCATTAAAATTTTCTTATGATCCCTGCTGTTGGTAAAATTATGTTTTGCTGTTCCACTTTCAGGGTGGTTGTTCCTCCAGCCTCCATTTCGAAACTTCACTACTTTCTTTCTAAGGAGTTCATGTGCCCAGGTCATAGTTCGTGTATGGGGCTTCTTGGTCACAAATATCACATCCCCACACCGGCCTGGCTGCATAGTAAAGGCATACCTTTCAAAGTGGTCAGTATTTCAGTGTGTGTCATATCAGTGGCACAAATTATGCGACTTTAAAAGTTATCACTGTATTTTCTAAAAGTTGCGCATTTTGTTCAGGTTCAGCAGAGAAGTCATCAGGCTGTTCTTGTGGCACCTAATGCGGCGCATTTTGGATTTAATTTGGGACCCAATGTTGCAGAGGCTGTGAATTTTGCAACAACAAAATGGGTGCCTTATGGAATTGTGTATCCTCGATGTACCTGCATGTAAGTATAGAATTCTTCGATCAATTTTATATATTCTGTATATCTTAATATTGTTTTGTTCCCATACGTTACAGGCCTGGCCAGGTCCACTCTGATCTAAGCACCATTATTAGAACATTAGCTCATGATATGATGGAAGCGTACCTGCAGCAAAAAATACCAAATGTTCCTTCAGATCCAAACTTTCTTAAGTGCATTGTTCGCTCACATTTGTGGAAGGAATCATATGTAAGTGTAAAAATTGTTTTAATATATCAAAATCTTATCGGTGATAGTATTTTTTATGAACAATAAGTTATGACAACCTTAGGAGGTGTCATGTTACCATATTGATTATCATTGTAAGACAGCCAAATCTGTGTTTGCAGCAGACTAATGAAGACTCCCCACTTTGTAATGGACCAAGTGAAGAATCGTGTGATGCTGTGGAAGCAAAAGTGTATTCACAGCCTGAAAGAAAGCTGAAGAAATGTGCAAAGCGGAAGGTCATCAAGTGTCCAGTCTGTGACACGGTTTACCAAGGTGGGCAAAAACAGCGACTTCTTGAGCACATCAATAGTGCCCACAAGAACCTACCAGAAAAAGATAGTGTAAGAGTCAACAAAGTCCTTGAAGTTATGTTTCCGCAATGGGGCGAAAAACTCCCGAAAAAGATTTGCCCTCTTTGTGGTAAAGGTGTCGCTAGATCCATGAAAGCTCATCAGACAAGCACAGGATGTCAACCTAAGGCAACTGGTTCATGTGTTTAGCTATGACTGTACAACTTTAGTTCAACAAAAAGCCATCAAGAACATTTGTTATCTGAATTCACCATAAATGTGAGTCTTAAGAATGATGTGCAAGTGAAATTATAGGATTGGCAAGTGCTGGAAATAACTTTGAATTGCCAATTTCAACTGTCTGTGAGTAGAGTTATTGTACTGAACTTGTTGTGTCTTGTTCAGTTGTTCAGCGGGGATTAGTCATTGAATATTTGAGGCTCCCTCTACAAAATTCCCAACTTTCTTTTTTACCAAATAACTTCCAATACTTCAATATTGTTGCACTCCTTTTGCTTATCCAATTCAACAGGATGTACTAGAGCTCCCCCTAGCTAGAACTCCCCCCCTATT